TCGTGATGGTGATGGCGACGGTGATGATGATGCTGATGCTGATGATGATGCTGATGCTGCTGCTGATGGTGGTGATGCTGATGCTCGTGATGCTGCTGATGATGATGATGCTGATGCTGATGCTGATGCTGATGATGATGCTGATGATGATAATGATGATGATGATGATGATGACGATGACGATGGTGATGGTGATGGTGATGGTGATGGTAATGATGATGATGATGATGATGATGATGATGATGATGATGCTGATGATGCTGATGATGATGAGGATGCTGTTCATGATGATGCTGATGATGATGCTGATGATGATGCTGATGATGATGCTGGTGATCGTGTTTGTGATGGCGACGGTGATGATGATGCTGATGCTGATGATGATGCTGATGCTGCTGCTGATGGTGGTGATGCTGATGCTCGTGATGCTGCTGATGATGATGATGCTGATGCTGATGTTGATGCTGATGATGATGATGCTGATGATGATAATGATGATGATGATAATGATGATGATGACGATGACGATGACGATGGTGATGGTGATGGTGATGGTGATGGTTATGATGATGATGATGATGATGCTGATGATGCTGATGATGATGAGGATGCTGTTCATGATGATGATGCTGATGATGATGCTGATGATGATGCTGATGATGATGCTGGTGATCGTGATGGTGATGGCGACTGCGATGATGATGCTGATGCTGATGATGATGCTGATGCTGCTGCTGATGGTGGTGATGCTGATGCTCGTGATGCTGCTGATGATGATGATGCTGATGCTGATGCTGATGATGATGATGCTGATGATGATAATGATGATGATGATGACGATGACGATGACGATGGTGATGGTGATGGTGATGGTAATGATGATGATGATGATGATGATGATGATGATGATGCTGGTGATGCTGATGCTGGTGATGCTGATGATGATGTTGCTGATGATTATGTCGATGATGATGTTGATGATGATGATGACATGACGATGGTGATGGTGATGGTGATGGTGCTGATGATGATGATGATGATGATGATGATGTTGATGCTGCTGATGCTGCTGCTGATGACGATGATGCTGATGCTGATGCTGCTGATGATGATAATGCTGATGATGCTGATGATGATGCTGCTGCTGCTGATGATTTTGATGATGACGATGACGATGACGATGATGATGACGAC